CCCTACACGCTCTTGGGTATGCTTCTGGAGCTCAGTCTGCCCGAAGGGCTGCAGGGTCATGTGCTGTCCCAGGCGAGCCGGGAGCCAACCACCTCCTCTTTGCCGTGTCCGTGGGAAGAGGCGAGCGGAGCACGACCTCCAGAGATCACTGCCCGAGAAGAGGGGGGGGAAGCAAGAGCTCCTCCAAGCCAATTGTGTTAGGATGCTGGTGAAAGCCGGATCTCCATAAATGTAAGTGCTTGCTCGCCCTAGACAGCCCTTCGCTGGGGGCTCAAAATTAACACCATATAAATATATAAATCGCACCCAGTCCTTCCATGAAGCAATACAATCCCTCCCTGCTCCAGCTCCTGGCTGGATTCCCATCCCCAGCAGTGGACAGCAGAGGCTGCACCACGCTCCATCTGCTCAGGGAGAGAGCAGCTCAGCCCAAGGAAGCCAACAGTTCCCGAGCTGGAGCAGGCTTCATGCTCCCCAGCCCAGCCAGGCTTTGGCCAGGCCTTCCCTTGCCCTCCACCTTCCCCTCCAAGCAGGACAGACTGGGTCAGAGCTCTGTGGATTTTGCAAGAAGCAGTAAGTCATCTCTACTTGCTCCATGGATGACCAAATACTTGAGGAAATCGCAGAAAAATTAAAAGTAGGATGGGCCAAAGGGAAGGCTGGATTAATACTGAAGTGCCTGTTGCTTCCCAGCTCCCTCCAGACAACCCATCCTGCTGCCTGGCAGCACCAGAAGGCCTGCTCCAGCTCTGGCTCTCCCCCTCTTCTCCCCATCCCTCATTTCTTCCTTTTCCGCCCCCGGGAATGTTCGAGGGGCTCTGACTCACTGTCCCCTTCCTGCTCCTCCAGTCCCTGGCACCTGGCAGAGAGCTTCTTGTGTTTTCTGCGTGCATACGTGTGGCCAGGCAGGTGTTTGTGCACCATGTCAATCAAACACTGTTCCGTCTTCTCTAGGCAGGACAGTACGTGACTGCCGTTCTGGTTGTAGCGCTCAGCATTGGAGAACACCTGCTTGATGTCGGAGAGGAACTCCTGCACCGAGCGGTAATTGCCACAAGAGCACTTGCTCTGCATAGTCTGGAAGTCCATGGGGTTGCTGATGACCTCAAAGTAATCTTCAGCTTCCTCCGTGGTCACTGGCTCCCTGCCGAATGAAGAGCCACAAAGATAGGAGGAAAATGATGGCCCTGGCTGTGCAGAGCTGCAGAGAGAGAATCGCCACCCCCCTTCGCTTGAGCACCAGCCCTGACCTGCACCCCTCAACTCACAGAACAGACCCCAGCAGCTCCTCAGCCATGCTGCAGACGTGTCAGCCCCACGGCGGTCACGGCACGATGATGGGAAGGACGGCAGCTTGCCCTTCTGCCCAGAGAGCTGGCCCAAGCATGGGGACTGGCACGTGGCAGAGTACCCCGAAAATCCTGGGGGCTGCAGAAAGCACCCAACCCAGCCTTCCCTCTTTGGCCTGCAGCCTACCACCCTCTTACACCACCTCAGAAGGGGCCCACGTCTTCAGTCCAGCACAGGACTGAGAGCCTGGTGGTTTCTTCCAGAGCAGCTCCACTGCCTTTCCCATTTGTAATTTGCTTTTGACACCCCAGTCTCGCAGCCAGCGCTCAGATATGGCGTGACTGTGGCACTGCCAACCCTCACCACACACTGCCTGAAGGCAATCCTGTGCCCACGGACGAGGCCACCCGCCCTCACCTGAAGGGCCAGCTAAAGCGGTACTTGATCAGCTTGCTGAGGATCTCCTCACACTTCTGCAACTCGAGGTTTTGGCGACGTGCCGTCTTCTTTGTTTGAAGGACCTGCCCACACAAAGGATGCTGTTAGAAGGAGCGAGAACCACTATGGGCTTTAGCATTCAGCAAACAGTTTTGAGGCCAAAGCAGCTGGTTCTTCGCAGAGCTTTTCTTTTCAATTCTCTCACTCACAAGCTAGTGTCTCAAGGGGTGGGGATATGTAGCACTGCTGCAGAAACAAAGTTCAAGTCTTTCAAACGCAGCCATCTCCCACAGTAATCAAGAGGCAAACTGCTCTGCCACAGGACCTTTGATGGCAGCAGCCAAGACATGCAGCGGCAGCTTGAGCTACAGAATGGCAGCCCCATCCAGAAGCTCTGGTGGGAATAGCTCACAAGCAGCCCCGTCTTTTCTCTGGGGGCAGCAAGCTTTTTCAAGATCGGTTCAAAGGCAGCATGGTCAAAACAAGCAGCCAAAGAATAAATGACAGCAAATGGAGAGCGTGAAATCCCTCTCCCTGCCTTCTCCGAGCCTCTGGCAGACCGCACGTGAGAGGCAGAGGGAGAAAGCACTTGTGCTGCTGTACTGATGCTGCGGAGCCAACCGTGCCATTTTAAATACCAAAGAGCAGCTGATGCCTCAAGCGCTGCAGTCCCATACGCAGGCTGAACACAAGGTCAGCCACTCGACCAGGGATCTGCAGCAGGTTGGCCACCAGCACTGGGACATCCCCTTGGCTCTGAGCGCACAGCTCGCCAGGCATCGCTGCTTAGGGCGCGTCGGATGACGGGAAGGCTCCACAACACAGGGGACTATTCCTGAGCCTGTCTCTTCCCAGGACAAAGCAGCAGCGAAGCAGCCCTAGCAGAGTCCTCCTCTCAGGACAGCATTTTGTCAGACACCCTGACCCAGCTGCTCCATTAAGACTTTTTCCCCACTTGACCGTCCCTCTGAGCTGACTGTGGCAGCCCATGCTGGTTTGGTTGCTCTCCAATCTGTAACGCAGACCAACTAAAAGGACACTGCAGATCTGCCCAGCCCACCAGCACCCTGCAGAAGCAGCAGCGAGCCCAAGGACCGTTATCAAGGCTGCTCAAGAAGAGCGACACAATACACGAGCACTGCTAGTGCTGGCCAGAGCACAGATGGCAGATCTAGCAGAGCCTCGTGACGTGGCCCGTGGGGCTAGGGTATCCTCACGTATCCCCATGGTGCGTCCCTCCCCAGGACAACCAGCACAGTGCACTGCAGCTCCTCCCCGCCTCGCATGCAGGCACACACGCACAAGATTGCTCTGTTCGGGAGCATAAGGTTTTATTCTTTAAATGTCAAGTGAAACCTAAACCAGCCAAATTATGTCCTGGAGGCTGGGGAGTGACTATACAGACAACAACTGTCAGAAAACGGCCAAGGCTAGGGAGCAAGGGTCCAACATTGCTGGCATTCTCTGACCATCCAGGACCCCTTCAGTCCCCCCACCTCTCTGCAGAGACATATGGATACTATTTAAAACCCTTTAACAAGCTGCAGGCTGCCTGCTACTCAAGGGGGACAATGTGTGAAAGTGGCTGGGGAAAGATGCCTGGCATATCTGCTTCGTTTGTACCAGGCCCTTCAGGATATGCCTCCTTTGTTAACCCGCCCCCAGCCCTGCCTGGCTTTCATAACACGATCCCGGGTATTTCTACGGGAAGGGGAGGCAGCGCAACACCTGTTTCGTTCAGAACTCGCGATGGGAGCAGCCTCCGGGGAGCAATTTGGCTCTTACCAGCTCATCAATGTCTGCGCCGTTGACAGGTGCTGCCCGCTGCCGGGGTCCCCTGGCAGGGTGCAGCGACTGCTTCTTCCTTTGGTGCCTTCCCTGCCTTGAGGAGTACATGGCTGTGCTCTGCTTGCCCCGGGGTGCCTTTCTGGGTCTCACTGAAACACATAAGCCGTGCGCTTAGATGTGAAACTGGAAGTAGAGATCGCAAGCTCTTTGCCCAGCTGTGCGCACCGAGCAGACCCTCGCTCACAGCACAGACATGTTCACAAACCCAGGGACAACTGCAATGACCCGGCTTCTTGTCAGCCTGTCCCCGCTTGTGCTCGTGTCAGCTGTGTCCAAGACTCGTTCCAGATGAGATCTGTGGGTAATCACCTCCTGTCCAAAAAGGGGCCATTGCTGTCTGGCAACAGCCTTCTGCTAAAGGGTGGCCACACATGCCAGCCCTCAGCACTGGCACATCTCTGGGCTTTGAGGGAGACCTGGGAGCTTCCAGCTCCTCTGTGCCAGGTAAGGCTCACCCAGGGCTAGAACTGCAAAGGCCCCTGGGCCTGCAAAGCCAAGTGCTGAGACCCTGACACATCAAAACTTGAGAGAGGGCAGGGGAAGTAACACAAGCACAGAACTCAAATATAACTGCAACATCCTTCCTGAAAGCACTGGGAGCAGAAGCTTGCAGTTTCCCTGCTGCCCCCTCACTCCGTACCAGCGCGGGGATGGGTGCTTTTCCAAGCATTTACGATGTCCCACACAGGGGGACAAGCCAGCTGCTAAGCCCCCCTGAAAAGTGAGCTGTGTGCAGGGGCAGTGTCGAGTTACTGCAGCCAGGAGTTGCTCCGCGTGCTGCAAGTGGGAAACAATGGGATTTTATTCCCCAAGACCGGGGCTGTTGCATTATATATCACAGAAAGGGACTCGCCCCTGTTAGTCAGCCTGTCAGAGCTTCAGGCTGATGGAAATGCAAGTGTGCTGACGCACTCCCATGTCTTAAGTTTCTCCCATGAACCCTCCATATCAGGAGAATGTGTTGGTCTTCTTCCCCAGCCAAGCTTCTTCCACCTGGTCACAAGTGCTTGAGCAAGCTGTACCCAGCACTGTAGCACTTCATCTGTGGCCTCTAATCCAGCCCTGCCCAATAAATAATCTTGCCGGGCCCTCTGTAGGAGAAGCGTGTGTCAGGGCAGCGGGACGTCTGCCCGCTGTCGCTCTGCTTGTGTGTCAAGTGTATGGCACGTGCTAAATGTCTGACAATCCAACATTCTACGTTAGATCCCTCAGGATAAACGCCGTGAGGATTAATGGGACTTCTCTATTAAAACAAAAGTTTTCCACAGTGACCTTTCCATGTTAATGCTCTTTAAAACCAGGGGTTGCATTTAGCACTTTATTTTTAGTGACTGTAACCCTCTTTTGCTATTGTTTGGAAACCTTGGCTCAGCTCCTGACTTGGCCATGCAACACAGGCTGAACACACTCCAAGCGTGGACATGGATACACTACAGAACAACAAGCAGTGTACACAGCCAGGGTATCGGTGAACATCCCTGAAACCAGAATAAAGCAGGGGGAATCAAGGCTGATAGTCCTGGATGGAAACCCTTGAAAGAACATGGGATAATCCTTTGAGTCCCTGCCTTCAGATTCCACCATCTGCCCTGGTTAAGACACTCTGAAGTTAATTTTGTGTCAGACAAGGGCATCTTGACAGAAAGCAAATGCTCACAGGGTGCTATTCCAGGACTGATCTTTTCAGTGCATTAAGTTGCCCAAATGAGGGAAGAGTCAAATTCTCCTAAAAGCAAAGTGGATACACATCCTAAAAAGTGGTTAAGTGGAGAAGTGGTCATTGAGGAGTCAAGAAAACGCTATTTTATTCCACTCAGCTGCCCAGGAATGAGCCAGTTACGCATCCTGACTGCATGTCACCAAAGAGTGCTGGCTGTCCAGGCCACACTACACCTCGAGCACTGTGCCCTCCTGCAGGAACAGGCAGAGCAAGTGCTAGTCCTACTACTTGAAAATGCCTCCTTGCAAAATCACTAGAAATCCTGCATTTAAGAGGTTATGAGCTGGTGGGAAGCGAAAAAGCAAGGAGAGGGGGTTGTGGTTAAAGCTCCACCATCTATTAACAACAACCAGTTTACCAACAAACCCTGCGGGCACAGAGCCTGCCAACAGCAGTAACTGATAATGCTGTTGCCTCACCCTGCCCTGGTGCAGCCTCACAGCTCTCAGTGGTCTCTGGTGTCCCCGGGGGAGCGACTGGGCAGTGAGTGAGAGCTGACTGCAGTTTCAACCTTTGCTAGTGCTGACCCTGTTGCAAAGGGACAAGAGTTTGCTCCGGCTCCCCAGTAGCAACCAGCACAACCACAGCCTTACCCTGTGACATCTCCCACTGTTTTTAAGTAAGAACCTTTTCTGTGTGAGGAAAAGCACAAGTCACAAATAGGATCAATACTTTAGACACTGAAGACAGAGTCCTAATATTTTCTGTTTTTTTCCTGCATGGTCAAAGCCTTACATTTCAGTCCAGCAACTTCATAATCTTCTTCCTCCTCTTCTTCCTCCTCAGCATCTGGTTCATCAGAGGCTTCCTCATCTTCTTCACCTTCATCTTCAGAAGAATCCTCTGCGTAGTTCCTAGAGTAAGGCAGGTAAGCACATCTGTTGTATCAGAACCTGGGCATCACAGGTCCTGGGCCCTCTGCACTGTTTTTTCCACAGGCAGAAACTTTCCGACCACCTCCATGTAAAATAAACACCCAGCCTCAGACTGAAGCAGTCTGCTGTATTTCAGACAGTATCAAGTTGTAGCTACAGTTAAAAGGGCACTTTCCAGGCTATCGTCTGAACATCTGGGCTGAAAATCCCCAACAGCTGAATCTGTGTATTTTTGTGCTGTTCTAGGCACCTTGACCACATGGTAACGGATTTTAAGACTGCGATTGCTGTGTAATTACTCCCCCTTGAGAGAACGTGCTGCTGTTTCTCCCAGGTCTGCAGGCCTGGTCTAAGGAGCTTCTAAAGGGGGACTTTTGTTTCTGCTGGAATATTCTCCCATTATCTCCTTCCACTGTCATGACACTTGCAAGTGCACTATAGGAAACAGATCTCATTCACTATCGTACACATCTAAGCTTGTATTTATTGGTGAGCTTCTCACGTGCTGATGTCAGAAGCCCCAGAGGCTCCCTGCCTGGGACAGTTCTGACTCCTTGCATGTGCCTGTTACAGCACCAAACCACTGCAAAAACAGGACAACAAACAGCACGCAGAGGCAAACACGGGCAAAGGCAAAGCTGTCGTGGGAGTCTCAGTCCTCTGGAGAAAGAGAACCTGGAGCAGTAAAAGGAGTAAGAATAAGCTCCAACAGTACGGTGTAGGGGGGGAACCCATTTTTTTCCTCCCTCAGCATGGAAGAACAGAAAGCAGTCACAGGACAGGTGCCACCCCACCTGATGGCTCTCGTCTACGAGCCAAGCAGCTTGCAGGTGACTCTGCCACATCAATGCAACTGCAATTTCAGGCCACAACAGCTGCAATAAAGCCCTGTCATTTTTGTACGAGCCTGATGAACTCTTACATGGTGCCTAGGGAGTAAGGAATACTTTTAAGGCCATACACCACCTGCGCACTACAGGCTAGCACAGATCTTCTTGTGCTGCTGCTCTGGAAGGGAGGATCTGTGACTTCTTATGCTTTAGATGTCATTTGATAACCTCACCTCGCTGACAAGCAGGTGGCTGCAGCACAGAGTCACAATCAGCAGAGGATATGTATTGCAAACAGAAAAATACACCTCGCATACAGTTAACTTCCAGCTTGCAATTCAAGAGTTCAACCCCTTGCTGCCAGGAGGCAACTACTGCATAGAATAACTTCGATTCCTCCCCAAATCATGTTCCGTCTGTAGCCTTTTAAGGACTCCTGCCTTGTTAAGGTTTCTCAGGTCCAGAAAACCATCAAAGTGGCATTTTGTAGCCTGATTTTTAGTAGCACAGCAGGGGCTGAGCTGCAGTGCTACCAACCACACTCTCATGAAAAAGCCACCCAATCAGCAGTTCAGTCACAGAAAACAGCAGCCCTTAGCACATCCAGTTTTGGTTGATGTTTTGTGCATGTTTTCACTGCTACACATAAGTTATTTAATAAAACTCCTGAAGTTGCCATGGGTCAGTACATGGGTGTACTAAAGCTACAGCCTTCAACTGCTTTACTATTGTTCCAGCGCCATGGAGTTCACCGGGCTGTTTCAAACCTTTTAAAGGGGCTCTGTTCCACACCGTCTGGGTCACCTTGTGAAAGCATGGCTAGAACTGTGCACCAGTGGCAACACGGAGGAGAGGAGGGTCACTCACCTGCCCCGCAAGCTGCGCCTGGCAGTAGCAGGCTGACATGCTGGGCACTGCCACTCCCCATCTGGTATCTCATAGAGCGCTGGTCGCAGACAGAAGAGGTGGAAGGCTTTGTTACACTCGTCACACAGGATCAGCTTGTCGTCCTCACCTAGGGGAGTGCAAATAACTTGTAACCGGGTGCCACAGCCTTGCTCAACTTGAGAAGCAGAAGCTGCTGCAGCGCTGGAGGTCAGGACAGAGCAAGAAAAAGATGTAAAGTACCCTCTGACGGCAGAGACCCTTCCCTCTCGGTTCCACCACAGCACCGGAAACCAGCAGCACTTAAAAACAAAGAAAGATGCAAAATCCTTTACCTTGTAAAGGTTTAATTCAAGGCAAAGGTAGAAACCCGTCAAATTGGCTCCATCCAAGCTAAATCTCAAGCCAAACAC